GAAAATTTAATTTCCTGTTTAAATTTTGTGCCTACAATCAAACGATTTCCAAACAGTCTGACAAGAAACTCTAGCAGGGATGCAGGTATGGTGTAACAGAAAAATCGAAATCGATCTCTAGAGCTGAACGCAAGACGCAACTTTTACTTTTCCCCCGGATAGATAGCGAAACAAATCCATTTTTCATAATCCACTTCCTGGAAAAGAGGGTGAGCTATCAACTCGAATCAAATTCAATATTCATCTAAGTGTTCTGAAAATCGGAAATGGTTCGGGAAAGGGCCTCCAGCATAAGATTGACTATGACTAGACCGCGTTAATGAAAACCACCTTTATGGAGTACATGTAGCATTTGGCTTAATTGGATCCAATATGGAATATCTCGTGATCCTTATCAAATAGAAGGTTACTGTCTTCGGCAAAGTTGTTCAGTGGGTTGGTGGATAGCAGTCAGTGTTGTGTCTTGTCATTGTCACTAACAGATTTCACACGGTATTGACATTGTCACAGAGATGCCAGATTTGTTCCATGCAATTCCGTAGACTTATTCAAATCCACGGATTTCTACGGATTTTTTTTAGTCGAAGGTGATATTTTTTTTAGTTCTAAGGCGATATTTAACGTTAAATGATAAATCGATGAAAGAACTTTTGAAAAACTACTAGGGACAGCCCTCTGGGATTGTACGCAATGGTGACGTCGGACTACGTGGTCTTATATAATCAATGTTATTTGTTAACTGCAGCAGGACTTGTGTTTTGTGTAGGAATAGGAAATGTATACTCTTTAGTACGGCTTTGATTGCCGTGAAAAGAAGCTTTTGATATGAATTTTAGTTGGGACATGTTCACAAATTTAACTCTTTTGGAAAATCTTGGTTCCCCTGAGTTTTTGGCATACTTTCACTGATTGCTTCCTGGGGATCCTTGTTCAGCCATAGCAAGATGTGCGCGTGAGGACTTCCACGGTGCTAAAATTCAATCGTGTCAACCAGCTTGTTGAAGTACACGCAGCACGTGACTGGAACATCATTGACCAGAGTTGCTGTTTGTAGTGCAGTCAATTCCTGTATAGGATCTGTTAAGTCATTGCCATTGTGTCCTTCTGACAATCGATGTAGGAAATTAAACAAATTGGGCCACTTCATCTCATTTACACTGAGTGTGAGGAACATCGTAGGCTTTCCCAATTGCCTACAACAATGGTGAACAAATTTCTCTTCTTTTGTTGCCAATGCTGTACTGAATTCGGTATTGATTTGAGGAAGGACAGATTTCGTTAAATGCACTGCTCCATGAATAAGGCGGTCCTTAAGGTTGACACGTGTAATATTTGCGGTCCCCGTGCACTTAAAAGTGAATTGCAAGCCTTCGGAAACTCTAAGGCGAAGAACTTTCATTGTCATATACAACAAATGTTGTGGTTTGGCCACACGCCTGTCTTGACGACGAGTTTCACTGGATGCCATCATGAAATATGTCACCCGAACCCCTGGCTTAAATTTCCGTAGATGGCCGAAACAAATGACAGGAAAAGCTATCTCTTCGCCGTGCTTGTCATATATTAATGGCAGAGAAACCCTGTTTTGCTCAGGAGCAATCTCCAGGCATTTGTCCTCATTCCAAAGGAGCGTTTCCTGTTGCCCAAGCAGCAATTCTGTCTCATTATCCACGGCAATGGTTTCCAGCTCAATTTGAGGATCCACTGCAGGGGTTTCAAGACCATCTATGGCGATCTGATCAATTGTTATCCCGTAGCGGTGGTACAGTGATGTCGTAATCTAATAAGAAAGCCAAGCTTTAACCATAGTTTCCTTTATAAAGCTGGACAAGTACGACGACTTATGAATTACGTGCTTTTTGATGAACACGATGAAGGCCTGATCATCATCGAGCTGACGGGGAAGAGAGCGTCGTCTCTCTTACACAACGCAAACGGTAGAACAACATTCGAGCAAAAAGAAAATTATCAAATAACTGTAATATGACATATGTGATCTCGTTCTAATTCCTCAATTTGGTGTAAATTAAACCATTTATGATCAAACATATGACATCGTTCCCTGCTATTTTCACAATTCACACAAGCACAGCATCAGGAGCTCTTATTATGAGAAAAACTAAAATACATACATTCGTGACGGCCTTCGGCGACAGTGTCGTATGACAGAGCCTGTTGTATGACATTTTAGTTTGGTACAGTAATTTGAAAGCTTGTTTTGCAAGTGTCGGAAGCAAAGGCAGTCGATTATCACTGAAAATGTATCGACTACGGTGACCGCTAACAAGATTGGTCTCGACATGACAAGCAAAGATTGACAGTATATTATGGGAACTTTCGGCGGAGTGAAGAGATAGTACGAAGGTCTGACGTTTGCTTACTCAAAAAGCAGCTAAGTGAGCATGAAAACGGTTGACAAGTTGCAGAGGTGAATTTTACTTTATGCTTCTTTCCCTTAAGAATCAGATTATACTCTAGATTGAAAAAAAAAACCGATACTGAAGGGAGACGTACACTGAAGAAAAAAATCCGTAGAAACTATACCGAATTCCGTAGATTTTGCCTACGGATCCGTATTTCCGCAAAAAATTGTGATATCCGTCGATCTACGGAGATTTCCGTAGATCTGGCATCGCTGCTTGTAGACTACTGGTTTACTAAGAAACGATACGCGTGAACAGGCCCGGTATATATATACACTCGTGACCCTACCAAACACCAATCACACGCGCCGTCCTAAGGAAAACATATTCTTCTTCTTCTTTGCATGGAATGTTCTAGAAACAAATTGCGTCGCAGGAAATTTCAGTTCTCGCTGGGAGCGTTTGATCGCGGACATACTCCCGCCCGTTGGAATGTTATTCCAAATCATCTAAATGTTGTACGTTGTCGTCTTGCAGAGGAAGTGGTGCCAGCTTACTTACTGCTCACCGATACACACCGGTCGTTGTCTTGCCATCAGCAACCCGCACTACTCCATCCTTCCCTGGATAGACAGCTTTGATCCGTCCAAGTTTTCAAGCTTGTGATGGTTGATTATCTTCGGCTAACAGAACTACAGTTCCAATTTCGATGTTAGGCTGCCTTTTGATCCCTTTTGCTCTTGACTGTAATGTTGAAAGATATTCGCGAGACCACTTGTTCCAAAAATGATCCCGGAGTTGGTTGAGGTACTGCCATCTCGATAAACGATTTGCAGGAACGTCCAAATACGATGGTTTAGCAACCGGATCAAGTCTTCGACCGAGCATCAAATAAGACGGAGATATTGGTTGTGGGTCGTTCGGATCACTGGATGTAGCATAAAGTGGACGAGAGTTCACAATAGCTTCGATTTGTGTTAGCACTGACCACCGAAGTTCGGCGATCTCGGCGGAATAAACTCCCATTCCACTTCACGGCTGATCAGGAAATCGTAGATTTCACTCCTTCCCATTTGGTCGTACTTCTTCAATTGGACTGGTGTCATTCCTCGAGATACAATATCTGCCAGGTTCTGATTGGTACTCACGTAATTCCATTGATAATCTTCAGTCAAGCGGTTGATTTCGGCTACACGATTGCGAATGTACACTTGCAACCGATCCAAGCCAGTACTATTTGGCTGTCACTCCACAGTTTCACTTGTCGATTCGAAACCTTCATCATCGGAACCACGTTTTCTACCAACCTGGCAAGCAATAAGGCGGCACTCAACTCCAATCTTGGAATGGTCATCGCATGGAGTGGGGCTACTCTGGATTTGCTGCACAGAAGGTGAGATACAGCTGATCCATTTTGTCGAATGCAACGGAGGTACAGACAAGCTCCGTATGCTGCCTGGGAAGCATCGGTGAATCCATGAACCTCTATGGCTTCTGGTTCTGGAATCACGACACACCTCGGAATCTCTATGTTGCTTAGTTCATCTAAGGATGTCTGGAACTCTTCTCATCGGTGAAGAATCTCACCATCAAGCGGATCATCCCATCCTACACTGCAAGCCCACAAACACTGCATTATCATTTTCGCTTCGACGATCACGGGACCCAACAGTCCCAAGGGGTCGAAAATCGTCCCCGATCGCTACATCACTTGTTTACTATCTTCTGCAGGATCAACTGCTACACGGAACAGGAACTGGTCTTTCTTCGGATCCCACAGGAGACTTAGAGCCTTGATGACTTGGTTGGCACTGGAATCCTGGATCGATACTAGGGTTTCACGATCTTCCTCAGGAATTCCATCTAGTACTTCCTCCGAATTGGAGCACCACTTTTTCACCGGAAATCCACCCTTCAGCATTAATTTTTCGAGGTTCTGACGTAGCTTCTTGGCTAGTTCAACCGTTTCTCCGCCAGACAGAATATCATCCATAGAGTCGTACAAGGTTATCTCGACCGCTTCTGGATGATTAGCTATCTCATCACGAGCTAACTGGATTAGTGACCTCACCGCAAGGAAGGAAGCTGCCGTTTTCCATCGTGTTACGTTTTCGAACCCACATTGTTTTCTCTGTGGATGGTTCGAAAATGCACAGGCAAATTCTTATAGATCCGTCCCAAACGCGGTACCAACGAATCTTCTGGCGTGGTAGTCCATCAGAAACGCTACAAGTTCTGGAGTTGCTGACCGTTACTTATGGGACATTTTCGAGCCATCCGCAGAGAAAACAATGTGGGTTCGAAAACGTAACACGATGGAAAACAAGTCACTTTGACTGTTCAAACCAGTCATCAGCACATCGTTGAGGGATAAACCACTTGCTTTCGCTGTCGTATCAAATACTACGCGCAATTTGGTGCTGTGACTCGATGGCTTCAAGACGCAATGGTGAGGCAAATAATATGTCTGGATACCTGCTGGATCTTCGTCCTCTTTTATCTCGCGACAATGACCAAGGGTTTTATATTCTTCAATGAAGGTTGCGTATTGAGTTTTCAGATCAGGATGTCTCGCCAATTTCTTCCCCAAAAGCAGGAACCGTTTCAAGGCTAACGACCTGGAGTTTCCTAATTCTTTCACAGATTCATGAAAGGGTAGCTGGACCACACGTCCATTTTCATCGCGACGGTAAGTTCGCTGATAATGTTCTCCAAACCGTCAGTCATAGCAATGTTGGCACACACTGGATTGTCTTCTTCTGGCTGCTCGTATGAACCGGCTACAACCCATCCGAACTGAGTCTCGTACAATGTCGGCAAGCGATTGGACATCTTTATCTGGCCTTGCATTAGGATTTGGAAAAATAATTCAGCTCCAATCAGCATGTCTATTTCACCTGGACTGGAGAATGAAGCATCAGCCAGTAGAATACCGGGAGGGATGTTCTTAGAATCAATGTTCACACATGTAGACCGAATGGTGCCTGTCACCTTCGGAGTAACGAGACATTCGACGTTGGTGGCAAAATCACTATAGCTGAATTTCATTCGTACCACCACCTTGTAACGGATATGGGCTCTGCTACCTCCAACACCGATAACAGGTACATTGGTCAAATACCTTGGAAGTTTCAGCCTTTGCACAACATTTTCAGCAAGTAGATTTATCTGCGATCCGGAATCCATTAATGCTCGTACTTGTTGGGTTTGTCCGTTATTCGATGTCAAACAAACCATCGCTGTCATCAGGAACACTTGCTTGTGTGGATAACCGCTGCTAGAACAGGTTGCTCACTTTGTTCTCCTCGGGTACCTTCGGTGTTTCACTGAGAATCACTTCCGGCTTCTCACGCTGCTCAAAATGAATCAATGTGTGATGTTTCCTGGAGCACTTCGTACATGATTTGTTACTGGAACACACTGCACTGCGATGGCCTTTTCGTAGGCAGTTTACTTCCTTCACCTTAGCCACTCTCTGTTCTGTGGTTATCTTCTGGAATGTTGGACACTTATAGTTTTGATGTTGCTTTGAACAGAAGTCGCACGAATATAGTGATGTCACTGACGCTGGATGTGAAGCCTTGGATGGCATAACCTTAGGGAACGATGTCTTCTGGACCATCATCTTAATACTGGACGACTCTGGAGCACTCTTCTCGCACCGTTCCAGGATAACGCTACGCTGCTTCAGAAAAACGATCATTGGCTCGAATACAGGGAGCTGTGTTTGATCGATGGAAGCTTCCCACAATTCACGGGTCTGGTCATCCAACGCTCGAGTCAACACAGTCACTACAAATAGCTCGGACATCCCAGTAAGCTGTTGGTTGAGCTTAACTAGATTCTCAACATGGCGGGAACACTCATCGACGAGGTTCCGAAGGTCTTGCGAAGACTTTTTCGTCATCTTCTTCAAATTCAGGAGGACTCGAATATGTGATTCTAGGATCAGGCGTTGGTTGCCAAATCTTGCCTCCAGGATATCTCAGGCACCAACTGCAATACCCTTCAAGGAATTCTCCAGATGCTAAAGTTTCACAGCATCAGAATCCGTGGAATGACGCATTAGATCCTGAAATATGTTGCCTTGAATCTAGGCCATGTTTCGTACCGTCACTCAAACGTTGGTAAAGGTGTTCGAAAAGATTGCGGCTGAAGGATAACAGGTTGATTCGTCATTTGGTTCACTACAGATGACGATGACAGCATGGACATGGCTGCATTCACTTGGTTCTCCTTCTCAATGACATCGATCAACGTCTCGATCATGATAGAGATTCCGTTGTACAGGTTCTCGAACTCATACTTGTCTTCCTTGGTCTTGACACTATCTTCAGATACGGATGCGATGACCATATCGTGATTATCGTTGTATTCCTTGTAGACTACTACTGGCATAAACTCGGAATTGCGGTAAAGATGGCCTTTCTTTGCTCTCCTTTGCTGCAGCTAACGCGTTGCGAATCCGTGTCAGCTTAGCCTTCCCTTGGCCTCGCTTGTGGATCAGCAACTTCAATTCTTCCTGGATGCTCATCTTCTTGGTTGGTGGGTGCTACCCACAATGTTTCGAACTAAAATCACTGTTACCCAAAGAAATGATATTTCAAATGCCCTTTCAAATGCCGTAAAAATTTTTTTTTTGTTTGCCCCAACCAGAGATATTAACATTTGAAAAGTGCATATTTTTAGTATAAAAACATTAATAACTCTTGATCGGCGAAAGATATTGACAAGCTTTGTGCAGCAGAAAATTGCACCTTCTTAAGATCTAAAAGTTACTTGAAGATACCTTTGCTGAGAAATTCGAAATAAGGAAACTAAAGCAAAACAACTGTTTTTTGTAGAGCCACCCTAACTCAATTCAAGAAAATAGCTCTAAATCGGCCAATTTAAGAGATACAAAAAAGTTATTTTCAACAAAGTTGCTTGAAATTAGCTCAGCTATAACTTTGCCGAAGAATTTATACCTTAATTTCTCAAACAAAAAGTTAGATTTTTGATTTTGATGATAATAGGAACCACCCTAGAATTCTTTGTCATAAAAATGAGGCCCCTATAATGAACAACTTTGTACAAAAGACTTTTAGTCTAAAGTTTCAATTTCAGGCTCAAAACATATCATTCCATCATTCCGGAGTTTCTTATCTTATCGATTTGGTATGTTCAGATGAATTATTGAAATCCAATTGCTCAATATCACAAGCATAGTTAATTTAACGCAGTGTTTGAATCGGAAATTTTTGTAGTGTAAATATTTAAAATCCACTTGCCCGTACAGTTGTTAGTGAGGTAACGTTGTCTGAATTATTAGCAGTTGGAAGATTTTAAATTTCAATATAAAGTTTAAATTTGATATATAAAGAAACAGGAAGTACACTAGCGTCGCATAGTGAGAAAAACGTGAAATTAATTGTGCTTTATTTGGAAGGTCTCAGTCACCTGAACAACTTTGCCAAATACAACAGCTTCCTAGCTGAGGAGGATCTCAAGATATATCTAATACAGGAAGTTCATGCGTAAACAAGCGCCGCCTAGTGAGTAGTAAGGTAATTCAGAACTAATCTATCAACCTGCCGGAAGGAATTGATTACCTGAACATCTTTTGCGAAATCGACGGAAAATTACCTGCAAACTAGCGCCGCACTGTGGTAACATTCTGAACTAATTAAACTACTGCCAGGGGTGTGAAGTTGTTCGCCTCCCCGTGGTGCACCCTGGAAACGATGGACCACCAGTGCTGCGGTACTGATCCAGTCAGCTAATCGAACAACAAACGAGGGGAAGCGCCGGAAGGTGCCTTGCGATCGATGTCAGTAAGATCGCAAGTATGTATACTGACACACTGGCATTATGTAGGACACTGAGTGGAAACTTATCATAAACCACGCTACGGGCTGGCACTCAAGGTATTTCATTCTCTTAGTAGAGTCGGGTGGAACCGGCCGAAACGACGTTTGAGCTAATGCCTTGTTTGTCTCCGTCCCATAAAACCCTGGCAGGCCTTAGAATACGTTCCTCCCGTGCCACCCAGTTGGGGCTGCGGTGGGAATAGGTTCGGTTGAATTATTCCCGTCTTACGCGATCCGGCTCTGAACATAACGCCCCATGAAGGCCTATGTCAACCCTCGTCATGGACCTCACTGCTCGCATAGGCACCCATGGGGATCAATCAGCGACTATTCCATTTGCACGGTAGGATAGCGGTCTAAGGGGGACCCAACAGTCGGGATGATTAAACAAAATCATCAACAAACTCAAAAACCCCAAACCTCAGGTGAACAAGTCGCCGAGGAGGCGACCGCGAACCCGTTCGCGAAGGGAGGTCTACCCAGATCTCCCGAACACAGTGAGCCGAACAAACGGCCGAAATCTCCGCGCGATGCAGAGACAACGGCCGGGATCGGTGGACAGCCGGAGGAGCAGCCGAAGGACTGGCCCGGGCTAATCAGAACTATGAATAGCTTTGGGCCCCTCCCTAGGCTGCTGGCAATCGCGGGACAACTCGACGCCATAATAGAGTTCACGAGCACGAAGAGCAACATCGCGAAGGACCTAAGCAGGCCTTGCGACAGCTCCGTGCAACCGTGAACGAGGCCCAGGACGACCACGAGTGGCTCAGGAAGCGACTAGAGGTCGCAGAGAGGGCGGAACAGAAGGAACCGAAGTCTACCCAGACGGACGCCTTCAACTTCACGGGCAACAATACGATGTCCAGCGAGGCCCTCCACTTTGCCGTTATGCAGGGACAGAAGTGAAATCGACCCTCACCTTCGCCAGTAAAGGGCGCAGCACGCCCTAAGAGACGGAAAGTCTCTGTGCAGGTGGAGAGTGTGGCGGTTGCCCATCAGTCCACTGCTTTAGTGGACGTACCGAAAAAGAGGGCTGGAATAGCCAGTAGCAAAGTTGAGAAATCTAGCGGCTCCAAGGGCGGGAAGCAGGGCAGTAAGAAGGGTACCCCCCCGAAACCCCCGAAACCCCCGAAACCCCCAGACAAAACTGCCCCCAAAAGCAGTGCTGCCCGGACCAGGAACAAGGGCGAAGCTCTCATCTTCAAGACGGACGCGTCGAAATACACGGAAGTCTTGAAGAAAATGAGAACGGACGAGCGTCTTGTGGAGATGGGCAGTAACGTGAGGAGCATCAGGCGCACTCGTACAGGCGAGATGCTCCTGGTGCTCAAACGTGGTGCTAAGGACCAGGGACCAACCTACCAGAAACTGGCAAAGGAGGTTGTTGGTTCTGGGGTGCAGGTGAAGTCGCTAGGCTCGACTATCACCATCCAGGTCAAGGACCTGGACGAAGTGACGGAGGCGACCGAGTTAGTCACGGCGCTCCGGGAACAGTGTCAAGTCGAGGTACCGCAATCAGCGATTATCTTGAGGAAGGGACTGTTCTCCACCCAAGTGGCTACCATCAGGCTCTCTGCAGCTGAGGCCAGAAAGGCGGTAGCCGCAGGGAGGGTGCGAGTGGGCTGGTCGGTCTGCCCCGTGAGTATTCCCCGACCGGTGACGGCTTGCTTTAGGTGCTTCGGTCAGGGCCATGTGGCCCGTGACTGTAAGAACACCGACAGGAGCAAGCTTTGCAGATGGTGCGGCTCGGAGGGCCATAAGGCGCGAGGTTGCCAAAAGCCGCCGAGGTTCACTATATGCGCGGAGAAGGGGAATACCCCTACCAACCACATGGCAGGTGGCCCCCGCTGCCCGGGGTCCAAGAGCTATGCTGCTAAGGCAAAGAGCAATGCTCAGCCATGTTCGAGGTAGCGCAGTTGAACCTGAACCACTGTTCGGCTGCCCAGCAACTGCTGTGGCAATCGGCAGTGGAATGGGGAGCGGATGTCGCAATCATCTCTGACCCGTACCGCGTCCCAACCGGCAACGGGAATTGGGTCACGGACGCGTCGGGGATGGCGGCGATATGTACGATGGGGAGCTTCCCCATTCAGGAGGTAGTCGTGTCCAACTCGAGCGAGGGATTCGTGATCACCAGGGTTAACGGAGTATACTTAAGTAGCTGCTATGCTCCACCCAGGTGGTCTATCGAGCAATTCTCGCAGATGGTGGACAGACTGACTGCGGTACTTGTCGGCCTAAGACCGGTGGTCATTGCGGGCGACTTTAACGCATGGGCGGTAGAGTGGGGTAGCCACCACACCAACCAGAGAGGATGCATCCTACTGGAGGCAATGGCCAAGCTGGACGTTGTACTATCCAACACAAGCCAGGAAAACCCCCTGGGGA